ACGGAAGCATTCCATACACCAAGAATCTCCTCTGTCATCGATCCTTGCTGCGCAGAACACGGATCGGCTGTCCCGATGTGTACTTTTCGAAAGCCCGGGCCTCTAGAGACACTCTCTCCTCCATTACTCTCGCGCGTGCCGTACCATTCCGAAAATCCATCAATAACGCACTCTGCAGAAATCGAAGACTTCCGTGCAATTTTTTGAAAGTCCCTCGGGGAACGGTCTATGCATGTCAAAGCGATGTTACATTTACCGCCCTCTTCGCCAGCCCCCCGGGAAGTGATGTCACGTAGAACGAATTCAATAACAGATGGAACGACACCCTTGTCGACTTCGCAGCCTTCCTGAATTTCAATCAAAACACTTTGACCACGTCGCCCGTCTTGCGATTCCAACGCGCCGCGGGATACAAACATCACGCTGGTCTAAGTAAAGCGGAAGACCTTTTGGTAGCGGACTTCATCGAAGGATATCAATTAAGGCGGATCATGCTGCAGGTGAAGGGTGGATGTAGCTTGGGGGGGGGTACGAAATGTGTGCGCCACGTCGCATAAATCATCTTTTGAGACCATGAGAAATCGCACACGTGTTGAGCGAAGAATTTACAGCGCAGAATGAGTTCACTTGCTTCGGCACTACTGCACATGTGTGTCCTCTTGGCCGGCAGAGGGTTGGTTTCCTTTGTCAAAGGTGAACTGGGAAAACGATATCCTATTATTTTCCATCACATTCACCCTTGCGAGTCGTTCAATGGTATCCAGGAACTATCGTGTTCTTATTCTCTCCACGTTCAATATGCAACTTCAATGCATTGCCGGTGGCCAACTGAATGATTCCTATTCTTCTCTGCTGGGGTAGAATGCAGCCATCAACAAGGTCCGACTTGTTTCAAGCGACAGTGCGACATAGACGATGAACAACCATGTTTTCGACTCTAGTTCCGGTCGCCAGTACACACTTCAAGATTCGTTCCGAAAGGACATGCGCAAACTATTGGATTCAGGTGTTGGAAGTGATGTTTCCTTCATTATCAATGGAGTTTCCCCAGGGATACCAGCACATTCGTCGATTGTCGCTGTCCGCTGCAAAGCCATTCGATCGGAGGTCTGCAAGTTTCGATCGAAGGGCCGAGATAATGACAGAGCAGAAACTTCTACTATGGAGATTCCTATCGACTCTGTTTCGTTGCCCATATTTAGAAAGGTTTTGGAATACGTGTACACCGGCACAATCGCCCTTCAAGCTGCAGATGTCTATGATGTTTGCTCGATATCTGCGCAGCTTGGAATCGGTAGTCTGCAAAGCATTGTCTTTTCCTACCTTCGAAACGAGGAGAATGTGCGTCAAATCGTCACCGTTTTAGATCGTGCTCTCCAAGACTCGGAACAGAATCGTTTACTCGTCGTGAGGCTCACAGAGTATCTGGCCGAAAACTGTTCCAAGTTACTCTGGCGTGCCCCGTATGAAGAATTATCTGTCGACCTTATGCTGCACATTATCAAGCAAGAAAACCTTGGTGCTTCAGAATATGAAATATGGCAAGCGCTTGTGGAATGGGGATGCATGCAATGCAGCGTTTCGCCGCCAAAAGCTGTCTCGGCAATGTCTGAAAGGGAGAAGAAGCGAGTCAGAGAGTGCTTGCAGAGGTTTTGTCGGCCGGGGTACCTGCGCATTCTAAATTTCGACACGGAGACTTTCGCTCGCGAGGTAGAGCCGCTTGGATCATTTCCACCGGCCGAGATGCTTTTGAAGTATCGTTTTGACGCAGTGGCTGGTAACGCCGCCTTCGAGCATGCCTATCATGGAGACCGGTACAGTTTTCTATTGCGAGTTCGACAGCGAACCGCTTGTTATGAATCTACTAGTCATCCACATCCGAGAGGTGTGTCTCAAACGTTCAAGGTTCAAATGCCTCGGTGGGCGACGGAAATGAAAGTGGTTTTTGATCCACGGACGGCTCTGGGGCGATATTCTGAGCTTGAGTTTTGCACTGACGAAAGGCGCGCGATGCGGGTGTATTCGGTGAGGGCTAGTGAAGTGCCAGGGACAATGTGTCTGCTCTCCGATGTGGAGACGACGACGCCATATTGGGCGCAATCACGGTTACAGAATCACGGTGAGAGATCCGGCGTCTCAGCGCGCGCGTTAGGAGTCGAACCGATTTACATTAGCGGGAACAGCTTTTGGTGTACCTTTTACTCTCCGCAGAACGTCGGCGATTCGGCATGGGGCTACAAATTTTTCGTTTCAATCGCTAGGTAGCTCAACCGAAACCGCAACAAACCCTGAGTTTTCTGAAGAATTGTTATGGCTTGTTTCGCAAGAGTTGACGCTGCCCTCTGCACACTGCCAATGGTGAGAACGACGACAACTCATTCGTATAGTCTTTTTGGTACTTCAGGCCTGGCATAATTTCCCGTTCGACACTCGGACGGTTGTCACCGTCACTAACTTCATGGCTTCGGAGGTGTCCTCGATATTGCCATCATATCTGACACCTGCAATACCCTACCATACATTCAATCGCATGCAAGTCGCATGTATTGAGGCATGGGACAGCGATTGCAACATGCTCGTCTCAGCGCCTACTGGTTCTGGTAAAACTCTTTGCTTTGAACTTGCCCTTCTTCGCTACTTGCATCTTGCTCTCACTTCATCGGAGAAAAAGTACCTACCTGCCAGTGGTTTACCCAGGAAGGTGGTGTTTATTGCTCCCACTAAAGCCATTTGCATGGAAAAGGGACATGACTGGAAACGGCGATATGCGTTTCTCGGCTTACGGGTTGAAATCATGACAGGAGATGTGTATGCGGCAGGTTCCAATTCAATCTTGCTGAATGCTGACCTGATCCTGACGACTGCTGAAAAGTGGGATAGCCTCACGAGGAATACTTGTTCCCAAGCAGTACCCGGCGTTTTGTCCAATATTGCTTTGCTCTTCGTCGATGAAGTCCACCATATAGGGAACTCACGAGGTGGTACACTTGAATCTGTCATAACTCGCATGTTTGTCACCAGCGACCAACTCAAGCAGAACATATCATCTGCTCAAGTTCAGTCTCTGCGTGTCATTGCATTGTCTGCCACCGTCAAAAATGTCGGGGAGGTCGGACGCTGGCTACGAGTTGACCCGGAACATATTTTGCAGTTCGATCAAAGCTACAGGCCTATTCAACTCGAATACGCAGTTCTGTCTTACCCGATCAGGAACCGGTGGCAATCATCTAAAGTGTACGATAGTCGAATCTTGGGAGTTTGGCAGAAATTCAGTAGTGGAAAACCTGCTCTAATCTTCTGTACGAGTAGGCGGCAAACCAGCTCGTCAGCTGCGGCAATGGTCGAAAATCTCAATCGTGTCAGCCCTGGTAGCGGTAGTGACGGAAACGCACTTACAAAGCACCTGTCCTTTGAAGAGCGAAATCAATTACGCACCGAAGCTCAAAGATGCAGTGACAAATCATTACGCGCTCTGTTGATGAATGGAGTTGGGTGTCACAACGCTGAAATGAGCCCTCAAAATAGGCAACTTGTAGAACGACTGTTCCGCGAGTGCTTGTTGCTATGTTTATTCTCGACAAGTACGCTTGCCCAAGGAGTCAATCTTCCCGCCAGGCTTGTCGTTGTCGCCGGCACCAGCGTTTACTACGATGGCTCGCTACAAGAATGCGACAAGAACATGCTCTTGCAGATGTGCGGTCGGGCAGGACGGCCTGGTCTCGATACGAAGGGGGTAGCTGTTATCATGACGTCGAATACAAACGCACGCCGATACCAAAACATGGAGAAAGCGCTTCCAACAAGGCTGCAAAGTCAGCTCAAGGCGACCTTGGAAGAGTCTATGAACGCTGAAATTGCTCGACAATTCATAACAGATATACCGCAAGCAATGCTCTTCTTGAAAAGCACCTTCTATTGGGTTCAGGAGAAGGAGAAACATAGAATTGAACTTCTAGATGACGAAGGCAAACTGAACGCTTTGCTGACGACAACAGCAGTGGAAGCGATGAAGAAATTGGCCAGATTAGGCCTGGTTCGCTTTGATGACGATCTTTTCGGAGTGAACAGTACGAATGCGGGCGTTACCATGGCGAAATACTGTCTCTCCTGTGAGACGCTAGGTCTGCTGATGACTGAAATACCCAAGGTTTCCAGCCCAGCAGGTGCTTTGAGGGTACTTGCGGCGGCGCCAGAAGTCTTGGAAGGGGTATGTGTTCGGAGGGCTGAAAAGAAAAGCCTCAATGAACTAAATGAATTCATTCGTGTGCCAGTCCATGGAAAAGTGAAAGAACCATTGGATAAGGCTATTGTCCTTATCCAGGTTATCTTAAATGCCACTATCACAACATCATGCATCGACTTTTCCTTACAAAGTGAAGCCCTTCGATTGGCAAAGTCTGTCTCACGGATTTGTAGCTGCCTTCTCTCGTTGGTTTTAGGACTGTCATTGAAAGGGCCTTACGAAGCCATTTTCTCAACTCTGCAGGTCTGCCGTGGCTTAGTCAGCCGCTGTTACTGGGACGGTCCCACTGTCCTTAGGCAGATACGTGGATTGACTTCTGCGAGAATTAAGGCGCTATCGAGACATGGCATATCTTCAATAGAAGCGCTCCGTATGGCTGATTTTAGTCTCATCTATGAGATTATAGGCGCGAAGAGTCCATTTGCAAAAGTCCTCCGTGAAAGAATGAATGAGATTCCGAGGTTTTATGTGAAAGCAAACGCTACAAGAAACACTCACGACGGTCAGATTACACACATTCAGGTTCACGTCACATATTCGGGACAGCTTGGGCATCTGAAAGTCCGGCGTCGACCTGAAGAAGGCGGATTTATACTTCTTGGATCACACTCACGTGGCTTCCTAGATATAAAAGCCTTTCAGCTGGACGGAAACGATAAAGAGATCACTTTTCAAGTGCCCCGCGATAGTCGCCCAAGCCGAGAAAAGTGGATCGATGTCATTGTTGGGACAGTGAACATTATCGGGATTGACGAAACGGTTCGTTTTCTGTGCGATAGACAAGACCAAGACTGTCGGTCGCCTGCGAGAACTGCTCTTGCTAATAACGACAAACTGAAGCCCAAAGCTCACCACAAGCCTCCCGAGCACGTTGCAAATCTCTCCGTGACAGATGGTCGCGTATCAAAACGATTTGTCCAGACAACTGTGAGTCAGGCTCTTAGCCGTATTAGCAACCGAAAAACGATAGCAAGGGTCCCCGAAGTACGGGCATATGTGGTAGCGGAGGAAGAGAAACATACCAAAGCGCCAGCAAATGTGATCATGAAAGCAGAAGAGAAGGCAGAGACAAGCCCTGATATCAGTCCAGGCCCATCATCACCTTCACCTCATGAGGCAAATGCTATGCAATCAGAAATTCCGACACTCGATGATGCTAACTGTACACAAGCCGCAACCCGGAGCCAAAAGAAAACGCAGAGACATGGACGGTCTCAAGCTCTATTCTCGTCCAAGAAAGCAAGACCATGTTTAACCCGTACCGAGGTACCTGACGCCCCCGTCCCTGAGGCTACTCATTCCTCACCTGACCCATGTCAAGTGCGCAAGAGCTTTCATAAAGAGCAGCATTGCCGGGAATATGATGACATGTTAAGATCCTTGTTCTGACGCACCGCTGCTTTGTCGTGAAGTCATTCAGCACAAATAAATCTCGAGATGAATGTCTGGCGTCGAAACGGGGATGCATGAGCAGCGCCGAGCCGTCTAGTCCAGCACACCACGAAGCAAGCCGCCTTGGTGAATTGTGTAGAATTTTCCCATCCACGTCATACTGCCCTTAGATCGTTCACTCCGCCTCCCACTCACGCCATAGCCTTCCCTTATGCCCATACGACCCCTCTTTCAATATCACCTCTGCTACAACTTCGGCGCTTTGCACGACCGCACTGAGCGACGGCCTCGAAAACAGCGTAGTTGCGTCCGTCACAACCACTCTTCCTTCCCACCCCCGCAACGCCGCCCTGTTCTCCCTCATAAACTCGTGCACTATGCGTTCGCACTCAGGAAGACGAACCGCGCAAACGGCAAACAACAGCACATCAGCACCTCTCAAGTCCTTTACCGAAATAGGCACAGAAGGCCCTCCCTCATTTGTGAAGCCGTCACCCCCAGCACCCGCCAGTGCGGCAATGCCCGGCACCCAATCCCCCGCCAGAAACAACGGATCCGCCCATTGCACAATTGCAGTTTTTGGTCTTCCCAGCCCCCTCCGCTGGCTCTCCGCTTTAACAAATGCACGTATACTCTCCAGCCTTCCCCTCGCCTCGGCCACCGGCTCCACAGCGGCCTCCTCCCTCCCTATTTCCCGTGCAAGTGTACGGTGCAGTCGGAAGACGTCCTCGAGCGTGCGGACATCGACTGAAACAACTTTCTCCAACGTAGGTATTCGAGCCTGGAGCAGGCGGCGCAGGACATGCTCGTCCGGCTCCTCGAAGTGGCGCGGCTTTGCAAGATGCGTGAGCAGCACCGTAGGATTCGCGGCTGCGAGGCGCGGGATGTCCGTGACGTAGAATGAGCAGACGCGGTGGGCGAGAAGCGCGTCAAGCGACGGGGATGCAGAGAAGAGGGGGTGGGTGTACTGGACGGCACGCCAGCCGGCGGCGATTTCGTGAGACGGAAGAGAGGAGGAGACTGGGAGCTTTGGAGAGGTGACCGAGGGGGGGTTGTGAAGGGTTGTGCATTCGTGAGAGGTGGCGGAGAGGTGGGGGGAAAGACGCAGGTCGTGTACGACGTCGGTTAGACCCGGGAGAAGTGAGGCAATTCGACAGTCGGCGGGGGCGGAGATTGGAGGAGCCGCTGGGCGCGGAGCTGTGGCCAGTCGGGACATGCTGACGAGAAAGAGTTTGGAGGGGGGCGCGGGGGTGTGAGAGAAGTCCGCCCAGGGCCGTCGGGGATGATGAGCTCGGTGATCTTCGCCCACTGTACACGTTCAGTCTGTAGAGTATGATAAAGAAACTTCGATATGATATCTAACAGTCTTCATGGCCCAATCATACTTCTTGTATTTGTACATGCAAGGTGATTGGTAGGTTTAGGCTCAAAATCTGGGTACTGTACAGCACCCATGTGGAGATTGAGCCTTCGACAGTGCCCGCATCTCGCAAAACCGCACGAACCCAGATGGATCCACATCCAGGTTACGGCTTCCAAGATTCGAGACAACCCCTATACCTTCTCAACACGTCGCTCGCATCACTCTAATGTCACTGCAAGGCATGATAGCTCTTCTTTTCTTGTACTTAGCTCAAACAAACAGAGCAAAGTACAACCCAATCACCTAACTAACATTTTCAGATCATCATCAGCACTCCATCTAAGCTAAGAGTATACCTTGGAATACTTCTCGTCCAAGTATTGAAGGAAGTATTTCGTATTCAGAGGTTCCCCAGTGACCTTCTCAAGAAGTTCATCCAAAGACGGATACAAGCTACCGACCTCGTGAATCTCAGTCTTGAGCCAATCCTTGATCTCCTTGAAGTTACCAGACTTGATCTTCTCCTCAACATCTGGCATCACCTCCGTCTTCAAATGATGATATAGCTGTGCCGCTGTCATCGCTCCCAGTGAGTAAGACGGAAAGTATCCAAATGCCCCGCTCGGCCAATGGATATCCTGCAAGCAGCCCAGTTTGTCACTCGGAACATCAACCCCTAGATGTTGCTTCATGCCATCCTTCCACGCCTGCGGCAAATCCTTCACGTCGAGTGTCCCATTCAACAGCTTCATTTCCAGTTCGAAACGCAGAATAATGTGGAAGGGATACGTAAGCTCGTCCGCCTCTACGCGGATCAAGCTTCGGTTCACCTGATTGACCGCGAAAAAGAGATCTTCTGCATTGACATCTTTGGTGTGCGGCAGCTTTTCGTGGATTTTCGGAAGCACCGCCTCCCAAAACCCGACGCTTTGTCCAATCATACGTTCCCAGAACAGGCTCTGCGATTCGTGTGCGCCCATTGACAGCGCGTCGCTGACTGGCAGCCCATCATACTTGGAGTTGCGCCCTTGCTCGTACATGGCGTGGCCTGTCTCATGAACGGTACCCATGATGCCCTCAAACGGCAACTCCTTGCTGTATCTGGTTGTAATGCGCACATCTTCCGGCCCCGCACCTCCTGTGAACGGATGCACAGATACATCTATACAATGCCGCAATGGCGTCCGCGAGACAAAAAGATAGCATCCGTTAGTATTCTGACCTTCTCATCAATATCGACCGCACCGCGTGTTCCACAGGGCTCGCACACGCCATCACTTACCTATCCTGCCCTTATCCATATCAAAGCCAAGCATTTGACAAATATCCTTGGACAACTCAGCCTGCCTGGTGACATCCCATTCCTCCCCACCACACAGGGCCGGATGCACTTTTTTACCCTTCTTCTCTTTCATTTCCAACACTTTTTCTAAAATCGCCTTCAATGGCGATGAAATACCATCAAATATCTCCGTCAGCCTCTCTGCACTCATCCCCCTCTCAAACTGATCAATGAGCGTATCGTACGGCTTCTCCCCCGGGCGCATAGCCTCTGCCTTCTCTTTAGTCAACGCAAGTGTCTCCTTCAGCTGATCTTTAAACGCAGAATAATCATCATTCTCCCTCGCCGCCACCCAGGCCTGCACAGACGCGACCTCGTTCGCGGCGATCTTGCGCTCTAGGTCGGCCGGGACGCCGACTGCGAGCTTGTATCCCCTCTCCGCATCGCGCACAGTAGCGCGTTCAAACGGCCCAAGATCCGGGGTCTGTTTTGCTGCGTCTATGGCGGCAGCGAGCTCCGCAGACGTGGCTTTGTCGTGCAGGACGGCGGCCAGCGCGGCCTTCTGAGTACCGCGCAAGGCGGCCGCACCGGGCGGCATCATGACCTGCTCGTCCCAACCTAGGATGCCTGAGATGCCGGACAGCGCAGACATGTCCTTGCACAGGGCAGAGAGGGAATCAAACGGTGTGGCAGACGTCGCTGACATTCTGAATGAGTGGTGAGGGAGACGGGCGCAGACGGGCGCGCGCGTAAGAGTCGCACGGGAGGTTAGGGGGAGACTGGCGATGAAGGCGGCGCTGACGGCTAGGGCAGTTAGAGTCATAGGGGCACAGAAAAGCGTGGGGATTCGATCTGGAGGGTGCTGGAAAGACGGGGAACTGAGAGGATTAAAGATTGGTTCACGAGGCAAGAGAAGAGCGGCTGTGCACAGACGAATGAATCAGCGGGATTGGCCGCGAGGTCGGTCGATGCAAGATGCCAGCGGGTCCACGTGGACGACGTGTTAGAAACAGCAGTACGACCGTTTTGCCATTTCTTCCGTACACTGCATAGGCGGCAGTCCCTGAGGGGCTCCAGATCCATGGCCAGTTTCCCTTTTTTTACAGTGAACGAATTCGGTCCGGCGCTTTCCTCTCGAGGAGTACCAAACTAAACACTGCCTCGCAAATCACTCCGCCCTCTGCCCTCTAGATGCTCATCTAGTCCCCCCGCGCCCCCGCCGGTACACACCTCCCGCGATGACGCCCTTCGGCTCAACGGCTGACTCGCAAGCCGCGCTGGCCACTGTGCATGACTCGCTGTCCAAAGTGCGCGAAGCGCTGCGCGACTGCATCTCGCTTCAGCCGCCGCCCGTGCCCTCCGCGCCCATCAGGCGGCCGTCTCAAAAAATCCTCGCATACACCGTGATGGCCAAGGTCGCGCACGACGCCATCATCCGCAAGGTCGACTCAGCGCGGCGCAACTCGCAGGCCGACATCGCTATGCTACAAAAGCTCCGCCAGCGCTCCGCTTGCCTCGGCTACGAGCGCATGCTCCTGGAGAGGCAGATCGACGCGCAGCGAGCCGTCAAGGCCCCGACGGTGGACAAAGTATCCGTCAAATTGCCGCACCCGGCCCCGCAGAATGCCTCGGAAGAGGAGTCCATGGACGTGCATATCGACACCATCAAAGCCCTCTGCGCCGAGCTTCAGAAGAGGCAGCGTGTCCGCGATGAGGTCGACGGCCTGGTCAAGCGGACGAAGAGGAAGAGGGATCAACTCGTAACTATGAAGGACGACCTTCGCTCTCTGCCCAGGGCCGTAGCGACGTTGAGGAATGCGATTGAGCCGGTGCGCAAGCTGCTCAAAGTCGGCGAGGAGCTTGCGGCTAGCCCGCCAGAGCTGGCACAGATCAGGTTATTGCCAGTCCCGTTGTATGTGCTTACACGGGAGGCATTCGCCTTCCGCACCATGTTTCCAAAAATCTTGAACATCTCCCTTTTGGAGGAGCAGGCCAAACTTGAGGGGGTTTACCGCCCTCATCCACGGCTTGTGCGCATGGATATACAGGCGGGCGAGCATATAGGTGCGGGTGTGTGCTTGCAAGTGTTTTTCAGGTTTCATCCAGAGTTGCACGTGGTTACTGTGACATCGCGGATAGCAAATAGCGAGCAACCGTCTGCCAAGATGGACGGAAAGCTTTTGCAATTGCTCTTCCCTTATGATGTTGGCGAGACGTCGCCAAACCCGTGCAACTCACACCTGGAGAACGGGGCGTTTTCATTTGATGTATCAAAGGCTGGAGGGGCAAGACCATTTGTATGGGCAAACCTACTATGTGGTCTTCCGTGCTTGGAGCGGTTTGATACGGTGAACGAGATAGTAGGGGCTGGGTGGCCTACTGAAGCAGCCGGCCATGAGGCGCATATTCGGTTCAAGGAGACGGTACTTTCGCTTCAGAATCGTTTATGCATGGAAGTGGCTCTGCGAAAGCAGTTGGAGGCTCTTCAAGCAAAACGAATGCCCATTCAGGCAGGGGATTTGGGGTTTATGGTGGAACCAGAGGCACGTTTGGAAATGTTTGCAAAGTGTAAGTCAAGGGATGAAGAGAGCAAGAACGGCCTGGGGGGGGATAATGTGAATGTGATGTTTAGAGAGGTATGGGAGATGCGAGTGTGGAGCGGAGAGCTGACGATGGGCTGTGATGTGGGTATTGCATCCAACTATCCAACGGGGACCCCGTGTTTCAGGTTAAAACTTGAAAAAGAGCAGAGGGATATCAGTGAGGCAGATATGCTAAGACTGGAGCAGAAAGTCAACATGTATAAGATGGAAGGTGACCTGGAGGATAAGAGAGAGTTGTTGCTAAGTGGTCAAATTTTGACATTGTTGGAGGGTGTGGATAAGCTGCAGGGAGAACGAAGTAGTTCTGGGAAGGCTCGAGTGAAACGCGGGACGGAGAAAGTACCACCGAGTCTAGCTCGGTTACTCACGTGATGAGCGGCGCTGTGGTCGAAGGCAAGCAAGTTTATTGAAATGATGTAACTCGAGTGCAGGGCATGCGGACAATGCGGAATTGATTGCACAAACGAGTCTGGGAGAAGAGAATGATTGCGAAGTTGTACAGCCGGACAGGGAGGTGGGACATGGTCGAAAGAAGATGTTTGATGGCGCTGGATCGGCAATGCGCATGTGATTCTCCGGGTGCGGCCAATCACCAAGCGAGTTTGACTGAGGATGCGCTGCTGGCGCGGCGTCGATCACAAAAATCAACTCATATCGCGGCCTTCCCAGCCCCTAATTCCCCCCCATGTTTCTCCTCCATTTCCCCATAAACGACCCTCTCCCGTCCACCTCATCACCGACCGCCATCCTCCCCCCCCACTGGCCTCGTTACCACTCCAACCCAAACCAACATGCACTCCCCCGCTTTCGTCTCCACCTTCGTCCCCCGCCGCTCGCTCGTGTCCGCCCCTCTCCATTTCTCCTCTCAACAACTCCCCCTTCCCACCCCCCGCCGCGCACCGCCCCCCCGCGTTTTCGTCCTCCGAGCCCACAATGCCCAACCGAAGCAGTCTCGCCCCTCCCTCCCAGCTAAACTCCTCTCCCTCGGTGCCGCCCTCACTACCACCCTCCTCCCATTCCCGCCTACCCGCCCCGCCCCAACCCATGCCGCGCCCGTCTCCCACATCTCCGCCGCGGTCCACACATCCGCCCACTCCTCAACAACGGCCCCCACGTCAATACGGCTCACCAACGCTGTTTGGGATCCCATTTCCGTATCCGCGACTACTCATGCAGTCCCCACAACGCGGCCTATGTGCCCCGTGCTACCACGCAAGGTCGACCCGCCCGCCAAAGTCGCCCTGAAGGCCATGTTCCTACTGGGCTTAGGCACTTGTATTATCACTGCCGTCACCATCGCCGTCTTCTGGGTCATTCAGGACTCCCTCGTCTACAAGCCCACGAAAGTCTGGCGTGGTTCCCCGAGCGTCTCGGGCATGCCGCACTACGACGATGTGAACTACTGCACCACAGACGGGGCAGAGATTTCGGGGTGGTTTATCCGTCAGCCCCCAGGTCACTTCAAAAATGCGAGGACTCTGGTATACTTTCATGGGACTGATAAGAATGCAAGCTTTCGCCTGAAGAAGGTTATCGGCTTTTATGAGCACTGCAAATGTAACATCCTGCTACTTTCGTATAGAGGCTATGGATTGTCCACTGGGAAGCCCAATGAGCGCGGCATGAGGATTGATGCAGAGAGTGCGTATGATTACTTGCAGTCGAGAGGGGATGTCAATGTTGGACCGGGCGGTAACCTCTGGGTTTATGGCGAATCGTTGGGAGGGGCTGTGGCCATTCATTTTTCGAAGGTGTATCAACATTGCATCAACGCACTCATTTTAGAGAACACCTTCACAAGCTTGTTGGATATGATCAAGTTGGAATTCCCGATCCTTGGCGTGTTCCGATATTTGAGTAGGAACCGGTGGCAGAGTAAGAAAAGAATAGGCGATCTTTCTATTCCACTATTGTTTTTGAGTGGTTTAAAGGATAGCTACATCCCGCCAGATATGATGAAGCAGATGCATCAACTTGCGTCAAAATCTTCTCTCAAGGAGTTTGTCGAGTTTGAAAAGGGTACGCACAATAGGACATGGACTTTGGATGGCTTCTATGAGTCCGTCGCTCGGTTTATGGACCGTGTCGAATCACAGGGAGCGGAAACGAAAGCATTGCAGGATACCCGAGAATCCATCTCCCCACGTGGGAAAGATGATAGCAATCGACTCGCCACGGCTACATAAGCAAAGGCTCTAGAAATTTTGTGAGACAAACTCAGTTTTGGCAAGGGTTGTGACCTGTGGGGGTAAAATAACAGCGTTTCAAATTAAAAGCGAAACCATTCACAGCATCCCGTACGAGTACATATGTTTTGAGTACGTGTCTTTGCCAATGTGGGTCCTGGATGCCGCCACGCTCAAATGGAGAAAAACAGTCAGGCCCGACCGCGAGTTTGAACGTCTATACCCTCGTTTATTTTATCATGTAGATCTCGCCGTTCGTTCTCGCATCGAGTCCTAGTTTGCAACCTAATATTTAATACGAGATTAATGGTTCAGACAGCTACTGGTTAACAATTTTGAGATGCAACTTTGCTGATGCTCTGAATAAAAAAGCACAGCTGTGCTGATTCCTGGCATGCCACGGACTACTTAAAGAGTACCTGTACTGTCAAAACTTCACACTGCCCTCCCGGACCACCAAATCGTTGAGAAAGAGAACTAAACGAAAAGTGTTAGTTTATTTGCTCGGATCTGCTCTTTTCCCTGCCCGATAACATACTTCTAACTGAAAACGGCTTGTGAGCAACCACAGTTGAGCTGCCTTGAAAGATACATTGAGCAGAACACCACCGACCCTTTGTTCACTCATTTTGCACACACCTGCCCTTTTCTTGCCCGCCCAAAGTAATCGCTCCAAAGTAATCGCTTGTTGTTGCTACTCTGCTTCCCCGTACTTCTGCTGCCGAGAAAACACATTCATAGAAAACGCTGCAGCACGTCCATTGCTCTACTCGCAAATATCTTGCCATTTCACCTTGCTTCGTTCAAAGTTTTTGCTCCCAATTCGCACATCACTTCAATACGAGTTACTGTGAAGAAATCTTTATTGCGAGACAAAAAGTCCATTCGCCCTTGCGTGAATTGTTGCATCGTTATCTCGCATCTATCCGAGGCTTCTACTTCTATTGCGTAGTCGCTTTGGCACTGAGACTTTCACAGAGTTTGCTCCTTTTTTCAGATTCTAGAACACATCTATGACGGACTTTAACGATCTTGCGTCCCTATTTGATCAGCCGCTTGAAACATGTGTTCTCGATTCGCCATCCGTCCTTGATACTCATAATTCCGAAAGAGGGGAGCTGCTCTCGTTCTCTCCGATTTTTTCTCCCCCAGATGCATCGCAAAACAAAATCCCGGAATCAGAAATCACTTTAACACCACCGCGGATGGAAAGAGCCCTTCCAAACGCAACAAGCTTGCCGCCGAGCTCTACATTTTTATGTCTTCCCCATTTCTCACCTGTGTTACCGAATGATGAATGCGGTATGCAACATGGAAACGAAAACGTTCAGGCTTTGCTTCACCCATCCCAGGCTGGAATACACAATGTAACTGGAGACACAAACCAAGGTGAGATGCAAAACATACAAAACACGGCTGCTCCGGTGCAACAACCTGGGGGTTTCCTGAAATCTTCTATTACATGCATAAGAGAACCTTCAGAAATGGGCAAACCCAGCAATCGCTCATCAATTATCCGGGAACCACAGCCTCAGAAAGTATCGAAACGTCCTCAGCTGGAGATAGTGGCATCCCATTGTTTGTTAGCAATGACTGAAACGAATGCCAAAAAGCTTATTTGTGCCTGCCTTCAACTGCTGTCAGAGGAAGATCTATTTAGAACGGTAGAGGTCATGACTTCTATGGTCGACGATGAACATATGGAAAAGCTATGGAGTCAAGCCTCAGCAAGGCGAAGTAGTTATAGAACCCCTTCGCAACCCCTCGAGACCCCATTGAAAGCACAGGGAGCTGCTGAAGCGGGAGCTTTTTATCAAGTGTCGCCTATCGTCAGCAATGAACTTGTAGGAAATGTGGAATCTACACCAGTTGGTTCGGAGTGCAAGGATTTCGGAAGATCTTATCCAGTTTCTACGCAGGCTCCCAATTTCGCGAAAGCCCCACTACAGTGTTACCCAAGCATTGCAGTGAGCCGAGAGGGGGGCAGAATGAAGGAAACTGCGGAGAGACTGGATTTGAATGATACGGAAACGGAACGACCAGCCAACGGTTACGATTCGAATATTCTCCCAGCCGTTACTGTTGACCAACTGATAGCGTCAACGCCTCTGTCATCGCAGGAGTTAAATGCAATTCCTTTTCGAGTACATAAAGGAACTCAGAAGCAGGGGACCAAAAACAGTGCCAAGAGAAGCTCGAGGAATACAGCCGGACCGACGAGGAAAGGACGGAAGGGAGCGCAAAAGCAAGAATCCGCATCACCAAAACCGTCCCCCCCACCAACGGTATATTTCAATGACACTCCACCTCAACAGGATTCTCGAATCAATCCTCTGAGACTGGCAGTGAAGAGAAAGCTCTCATGTATCGGACCAAATGCATGTGCTCCGAGCGCCAAGCGGATTGCAATAGTTCCGGAATCTCTTCCACATCCTCCTCGGCCGATGTCAGAGGCGGCAAAGTTAATTGCCAAGAAGCATGAGGATGTGAGAAGAAGGAATATGGAGAAAAGGCTTAGGAGTGTTCCGAACCTGCAAGAAAGCTCCACATCTCCTAACGCTGCTCCGAGTTCGGCTCCGAGCCGATTTTGTCATCTATGCACAAGGGCGGGGACTACTAGAGAGCTTCTCGTCTGCAGCAACGTCAAGCGTGGATCGTGCCGAAAGGTCATCTGCCACCGCTGCATACGAGAACACAAGTGGGATATGGCAAAGCTTCAAGCTGATTCAAGTTGGACCTGTACGCATTGCAGGAAGGTAGGACCTTAAACACGATTCAAACGATTCTTCCAATGAGTCAAAACCCTGCCGAGAATTGAAACTAACGACATCCTCTGAAATTCTTCCACATCTCGCTTCCTCTCAAATACAGGAATGCCCAAAGAAAGCGCAATGCCACACCTACAAGCGGGTGAATCAGCATCGACGGCTGGATGGTCACAACGCTAAAGAGTAGCGGTGTTGTGGGCAAACACAGGCCCAAATTCTTTCAAGGTTTTTGCTCTTGTCTAGCTAGTGCGAGACAGGGTCTGTGCGAGACAGGGTCTACCCGTTACAATCCATGGCTAGTCGTTCATACAATCGCTTCATGACTGGAGCAAAGACTCCCAAGCTATTACAAACCTACAGATAGATTTCTCAACATACTAAATATTTACTTCCAACTAGGCCGATCGGCATCCTGCAAAGGAGCTGGAGATGTGTTTTGCTCGCACGCTCTCAATGTGCGGCTTTTAGCCCTGATCTTCACATCGATATGGGAGGGAAGACGCCCAACCTGACGTGAATGGTCTGGGATAGTTCAAAGGAAACAATAAGTACTCTAGAGTGATGCAAGCCTTTTAGACTTGTATTTGCAGTTCATTTACAAAACACGCACGATTAACCTAGTATCGCAGCTCCTTACCCTTTCTACGCATGAACGCATCTAAGGTGTTCCAAAACTGAAACTGAGCCTGACCATCGGTGTGGCGTTGACTTCGAGATAACTTCACAGTCTTGATCGCCCAAGAATCGACGTTTCCGGTCGGTGCATCGTCATCGTAGTGAAAATAGAATCCTTGTACCTTTCTAAAGAGCTTCTGTACGCCACCTTTGTAGATTTCCCACCTCTTAAATTGCCATTCTTGACCAGAGCACACAACAGCCACGACACGCTCCCACTCGCTAGCCACTAAACGACTGGTATTTGCGACGATGTCGTATTTGGCACGGGAGCAATTTCCACCAGGTGTACGATACACATCCAACCGGCTAGCACCAATAGAGCTGATTTTGTTCCTCTTGAGTTCCTCGGCGGACAAAAACCGTCCGTGCTGCAAAAACTCAGCAATATTGCCCGCACAGATCAATGTCGTGCTTTGCGGGACGATGATGATCGGGACGAGTTCTTTGGGGTCAATGCGTTGTCGCTTTGTACTCGGCGTTCCTGAAGACGAGGTGCGGCGGGAGTCAGGCTTTTCGCGTTTCTTTTCCAAAGGCGGACCGTTGGATGCATTCGACGGTTTCGCCTTGAAAGACCCGCTCATGTCAATTCCAAGCTCGTGAAATTCAGAACCCAGGTTCTCCCTCCAGAAGCGGTCTTCATTGCTCGTATATCGATCTCCCCTTGGATCATATGTAGTTGACGGTTTTGAGCCATTCGCTCGCCCGTTCGCCTTGCCGCTCTTCGCCTTCGAAACGTGTTGCGAGAGCTTCTCGCGCAATGTGGAAAAGTCCCATTCCGCTACCATGAGAACTGAATCCAGTGCTCTCTGGTCTCTATGTCGTTTGCGTTGAGACGCATAGAAAGAGGCGTCCTTATCGGTCTCCGAAGTTTCTTTGTGACTGTCGTGATCGTCGCGCGATTTGCTGGGGTCAGTCGAAGAAAGATGTGCAGCAGTGGTTTGCTTTTCAGCTTTCAACTTTGCAGACGCATTTGAGGGCTTCGAAACAATACTTGCGCAGGTTGGTATTTCTCCCTTCAAGTAGGCGAGTAAATCCTTCTTGTCCAAGGGCGTCATATGAGCAACCCCTTCTTTGCGACAGGCCTCAACATAATCGTTGTACGGCAAATCGCGATATTTGTACTGGAAGAAGATAGCTTCGAGGAGATAAGCATCACCTCGGCCACGCATGGAATGGAAATCAGTCGCGGAAGAGCGGTCATGGCGGATGTCTGCGCCAATGCGCACGGAGGTGTCATCAATATCCACTGGTTGCCCAGAGCTAATGGCTCTTCGAAGTTCCTCAAGAGCGCTTGCCATTTTCGCGCGGATGATGGCACCGGTCCCTCGTGACCCGCGCCGAGTATCAAAGTTGTGCGCTGAGCCCTGGCGAAGCGGTGCACCTTCTGTGAGAAATATACCCCGTGCTTGGAAAGACTCGTGGAATGTGCCTTGCTGGGTGCTTAGACGCGCTGCCTGGTCGGGGAAGTGATGGCTCTGACCCGCGGCCGACTACGTAGTCACGTGAATGAGACACGGGTCGAGAGGCTGCGGTACAGCCCAGACCGCACACTGGTGCATGGGTGTCGAAGAAGACCCAACTCGTATTACTTTCCGTGCTTTGAAAGTGTTTTCCTGGGTCAGGCACAAATCCGCCTCACAACAGGAATAAATTACAAATTACAAATTACGCAATTCTAAAATTGAAGACTGTTGAAAAGTAAAATAAAGAGAATTTTTCTTACGTACCCCTTTTATTTTGGAATTTTCCTTACATGCCCCTTTCTATGAGCCACTTTTCTTAGGAGCGCCAGATTGAATACGTGAGGAGGTGAAGAGGGCGTCGCAAAAATGAGTTTGATCAAAGGGAGCACGCTCCCTGATAAGCACAGCATCTTAATGGCATCCTTGGCCATGTGCGCCACCGTGGGCCGATCTCACAAGGTAAAAAAGTCAGATTCTGGGCGCCTGTGTATACAGTGCCCCTCCAGGAGTGCTCATACATCGTGAACGCCCAACCAGACCAAAGGGCAAACAACGGCTTGTGGAGAGTGGGGTCGCAGCGCCTCAACGAAAGTTGCGTTGCTCTGCATATGGTCAAGTTGGGGGCTACACTACGACTTGCGAAGCCCCAGCACTGTGTACCTCTACCGGAAAGTCGTTCGGGAGTGAGGTGAAGAAAGGGGTATGTAAGAAAAATTCCAAAATAAAAGGGGTACGTAAGAAAAATTCTCTAAAATATATTGAGAGCTTGAGCAACCCTTTCCTTGATACTGTGCTGGAGCGAGCAATGGCACATGCTGCAATCTCAGGGTAAATTTAGACAGACTGCATGCAGAAAGAGGCTATGAAACGTCTCTCACAAGTTTCCTTTCCGGGCAGGGCTGCTGTGAATAGTTGCATTGGTTGCTCTGCAGAGTTTTTCTCTTTTCAACAAACAAAGACGCAGTAAATTCTTTTTGTAACTGAAACTCCCCATCATTAGTTTAAAGAACAGTTCTTTTCAACGTGCCAGCACCAGAGAAATTCTTTCTTTTCTCACCTTTGATAATCTCATTCGCATAGAATAAGAAGACAGAGTATATGCGTTCTAGTTCAATTGAAGGACGCGCAGAAGAAGTAACTTTCTCCCTGCTCGTCTATATCCTCAGTCATCGGGCGACTCCGAAAAAGACACAAGCACTTTTGTGTGTGCGCAAATCCATCAATTTTGGTTGAGTAGGAGGGTTTTGTGCCTACACAAACCGCCAGTTTGATCGTCGTACGGCTGCCAATGTAATTGTTTGCGCACAGGCACAAACACACAACCGCACCTACCTCTCCCATCAAGTGTAGTATGTGCGCAGGGGTTCTGAGACCTGTACTGAGGGTGCATTTGCATTGTGCATATCTCAGACTTCTTTATGTTATATGCATTTCCGTGGCAGCCCACAAAATACGACACACATATTTTCTACTACTGCACACACTTTATGTTTTTCGGAGTCGCCCATTATCCCATTCATCATATACGTGCATCTATACAACCTTAAAAATAACAGCTTCTCCGAATAAAGCATAAAGCAATGCCTTGAACCCTGTACTCAAGTGTGCAGAAAACAGTGATCGTTTACTTTTCTGTGAGCGACATGCAGAGTTGGCTTGTTTTGAATCTATAGTCTGTCATTCAGGGACTTGTATTGGTCTCAAAATTCAATGTTCTTTCATTCAGATGATAAATATCGTGCCCATTTGCTGACAATTTGTTAGTAGATGCGGATTTGGATTCATTTCATCCTACGGCACAGCCATTCGTATATTTTTGGTTTTTGGTTTTTGAGATCATTTCTGCAGCCGGATCTTTCAACAATCCCACCCTGATTGTAGTCACTGTTGTTTTCTTCAAAAACCCAACAGCGAACGCCATTCTTGGTCACTTTTTACAAACGACCAGACCACGCTTTCCATTGCAAATTATTCACAATGCTTCTTTGAATCAAGCATCAAGAACAACTACCTTGAGGAAACAAACTCTTCCTATATCGGTTTCTATTCCTTATCTTCAAGGGTGTAAAAGTCGTTCTGCATAGATGCATATTACCCTGATATTATTTCTTTTGTCCCAAATCTATTTCTTTTTCGGAGAATCGCAATCTGTCTTACCCATACCTCTCAATGGCGCCTTGAACGGGACCACGATCGGTGCAGAGACAGGCATTTTCTTAAATTTCTCGAAAAAGGACTTCACAGATCCTCCCATCGGAACCGGAGGGCAGAGGTTTTTTGAACTGACTATTCCAAGCGAGAGTGGACAAACGGACCTACAAATTTCGACATGCATCGGGTCAGATTTTGACACATACATTGCTCTCCTGGATGGAAACCCGATCAATAATTCAGATATATCTGTTGTTGCGGAGAGTGGAAATGATCTTTCTTGTAAAACTGGACGCTCCAAAGGCTTTCTATCAACCAAAGTAAATTCGGGAACGTACTTCATCGCGATAACCGGCAGCAGTGCAAATGAAGGCGTTTTCAATATCTCTATATTAGGCTCCAAGGCAACGCCAATTCCCGTTCCCTGGGGTCTCGATCGTATTGATCAGCGTAAGTTACCGTTGAACGGTCGATATGAGGTTCAGAAATCAGGAGAAGATGTTTGGGTATACCTTATCGACTCTGGAATTCGAGCATCACACGAAGAATTTGAAGGTCGGGCCGAGGAAGGATACGACTTTGTTAACCTCAAGAAAGACTCAGCATTTGATTGCACTGGGCATGGCACTCACATAGCAGGGATTATTGCAGGAAAAACTTTTGGGGTATCTCGAATGTCTCGGATTGCTGCAGTAAGGGTGTTCGGTTGTGATAATCAAGCTAAGTCATCGGCGTTAATAGACGCAATCGGATGGATCCTGGTAGATTCGAAAATCAGGGGAAGGGAGAATATTATCGTCACCCTGATGGTAAGTACAAGTAACAAAGAGTCAACGATCTTGGGAACCACAATAAGAGGCTTAAGTAGAGCCGGAATTCCAGTTATAGTTCCTGCTGGAAATAATGCCGGCGATGCATGTGATTTCTATCCCGGAAGCATACACGAGTTCCTCACTGTTGGTTCAACTGACCCAAGCGATGATCTCAGTTCATTTTCAAACGCCGGAAATTGTACAAGCATATATGGTCCTGGTGCATCTATCACAAGTAGTTGGCACACGAGTGATAATGCGTGGAGAAACATGAGCGGAACTGCTCAAGCCGCGGCTCATGTGGTTGGTATAGTGGCAAACTTTGTCTCCCTGAACAACAATGTCAAAGCAGGAGTCGTCAAAAACGTTGTAGAGTCAATTGGTTCTCCAAATATTGTCGGAGATGTCCCTTCAAACGAGACAACAAAATTTGGGTATGTGAGATCCGTTCCACAATTCACAGGAATCCCACCTTCGAGAGCAGAGGTATATTTATTCGCAGTTCTGGGTGTTCCATCTAGGCTTTGTGGACAAGGCTCTCGAGATGTGTCATCGCTACGCAAGTCCATCTCAGAACTGCTCTCCGTGAAGATGTCAAAGGTGACTGCTGAATGCACATCTAGTCGCAAAAAAGTGCGCCAAAGAGAGAGAGAAAATGTCCAGGTGCGAATCGAGCTCCCGGAGCGATTGGCAGCAGCGACATTCAATATCTTGGAAAATGCTTTAGTTGTCAAAAAGAAAAGGACGGAAGACATGCTAGGATATTCAGTTGATGTTGTCAAACTACCGTGGGCAGTTGATTCAACTCCCATAGTGTATTGGGGTGCGCCCTCTTTTGCAACGACTGAATCAAATTCGTTTAGCGCTGGGGCTATAGCTGGTGCTGTTGTCGGTGCGTGTTGTCTAGTGGCGATAATAGCAACTGTTGGATGGATTATTAATCTGAAAATGAGAGGGGTCGATGCCATTGAGTCTATGGAGGGCTCAGCTGATTTTGAGAAAGACCCTGTTCATTTTGATGACTATAAAGACACTGACGACACGAATGATGCCCCGCGGTCTTTCCGAAACGTTGTTAAAGCCATGAAAAGGCTGAGCAGAGGAGGTTCGTTTTATAGAAACAACCAAGGAGAACATGAAGGAATGAACAAGATGGGCAGCTTTATCGGAAGTCAGCATTCTTCGGCACCAAAAGATATGGTTCGCCTAGACTCAGTCGGAGGAGAAGCGTTTGCGAGACTGGGCAATTTCTCTAGAGGAGAATCCAGTGCTGGAAAGGGTGTGTTGGAAAGCAGTTCGAGCAGAAGTCTTGCATTGTCTTTTCGGGGGCTCAACAATTTAGTTCTCAAACGAGGTCAGAGAGACTTGGATACAGATGGTAGCCTTGAACCAAGTATGAGCTTATCAGATAGTTCATTGATGATGCGAAGTTTCGGGGGGGAAGCTTTCGCAAAGATTGGCCGCGGAAGTAGCAGAGATTTGGGAATGGATCCCATTGTTGATGGCACGGGAAATGCTTCAACACCCTCTCCTGAACCACAGCGCGAGGCTTCTGTAGGCCCTGGGGCTGTTGGGACAATTGGCCCAAACTCTGATGATGAATCTCAAAGAACAGTGAGCTTCTTTGGAGGTACTACGCTGAATACCCGTTTAAGTTTGGGAAAATAAAAAGCTAGACATATCTTTACATGTTGCGGCTCTATTTTTCAACAAGAGCCAGGTCGTTTACTTTCAGCTTTTACGCTGTTGCTAAAAATTGATGTTTGGGGTCTGCGACAACAGAAGGCGGGTATACAGCTTGGCTCAAGAGAGGGTATCTACGCTCAAATCTTCGTCCTCTTTCAATTCCTACTCGCCGTTTTCAAAAAAGTTTGACATAGACTGGACATCGATGACCCCGTGCATATTATTTTCCGCACTTCCTGCAAGTGGTTCTAGATGGTCCTCCGAGACTGTTTATACGGTACAGCTCATCATGATTGAGCCTCCATACGAACTTAGATAGTGAGGTTTGAATATTTCAGCTCTTTTTAGAGCTCACACT